CAAAATTAGATGTGACTATCTTCAATGCTAAAAGCAGTGAAGCTTAGCTGCATAGCTCATATTCATGTTAATTCCAGTGTGTTAAAAGATTTTTCATTGTTTTTGCTGTTCTGAGCTACTCAAAACCATGAACATGAACACTCAAGTAGATGTCCTAAAAAACTATGCCATGTTTGAACAAAAAGTTTCTTATGGTAACATACAATGTACATATCTCTGATATTTGACATATCTCTGATATTTGACATACAATGTACATATCTCTGATATTTGAAAGATTTCATAAATGTGAAGCAGTTACTTGAAGCAGTTACTTGAAGCACACACACGCACATACTGAACCGTCTTCAGTAAGAAGAGACAAGGTCAGACTCTGAGGGGTTCCTGTCTCCCGTAGAGTTTGTCATCAGAAAACCAAGGCAGATTGCCAGCGCCTGTGTACATGAATTTTCTTTATCCTCTTTTGTTTTGGTTATGGGGCTTATCCTAGTGATTTTACAAGATGCCTGCTGTGTTCCTGAGAAAATAAAATGTGCAAAGCACACTTCCCCTCAGCTAGTCCACACCCATGGGAGATATCTTGAGTGATTAAGTGTTGGGCTCTTAACTGCTGCTCTCTCTACTCTGTAGGCATCTGGGTGTTAATCACAACAAAGACATCCTTTCAAATGAAAATGCTGGCAGGTCTCTTTAGCTCTTATAGGACCCTAGAGACATTTGGCCTAATCTAAATCTGAAGGTTAACTTCCAAAATTTAATTTAATTTATTCAATTAAAAAAAATTGGTATTGTTGAAAAGATAGGTGACCTTTTTTAAGATCTTTTCAGGCAGTTTCAGTGGTTTGGGAGGACTCAGTGCAGAAATCTTTTTATTCTCTGAAATGGGGAGGCATTTTCATGGGATAAAACAATAAAATATTGTAGAGGTAAAAAAGATTTCCAAATCATCACTGTAGGCCTATCATATTATCAGATAAAAATTTCCATATGATTTTTTTTTCCCTAAATATGTCACTTTTTGGATAAAATAATATAAGCATATGGTCCAAACTTGAAAAGACATGAAACACTGGATAGTGAAAAATAAATATTTCCCACTTCCTGTCATCCAGTTAGCATCCCTGGAGGGAACCACTGTTATAGATTCTTATGATTTTTCCAGAAATAGTCTATGCAAGTCTTAATATCCTTGCAGCTAGAGCTCAGTCCTGGCAAGGCCAGAGAGGTCATAAATTAATCACATTTTGTAATTATCATAAACTAAAAATGAATTTTTCATTTCCAACCTCAAGTGTGTTACTAAATTGGGCAAGTTAATTAATCTCTCTTCCTCAATTTCTCCATCCATGTGGTGGAACTAAGGGTACCTACCCATCAGGCATGATTATCAGGATTAAGTGAGGTAACATACCAAAGCTCCAGATACACCCCTTGATTTTAACTATGGGAAGGCAGATGCTTTTTCTTTCAACTCGCATTTCAAATGCAGGGTACAAATTCTTACCAAGGTCAGACTGAAGGTGTTCATAGCATATATATGGAAAGAAGCACGGGCTGAGGCTATGGCTCAGTGGCAGAGTGCTTGCCTAGTGTGTGTGAGGCACTGGGTTCAATCCTTAGCACCACATTTTAAAAAATAAATAAATAAACAAACAAAGGCATCCTGTCCATCTACAATACAAAAAAAAATTTTTTAAAAGAAGCATGTATTATACTGTCTGTTTGCATAGCACAATCACTTTGTTTTTCTCAACCTTGGTTAAGTTGATTGGCTTCTCCCTTAATCACTTTATAGCTTCCTTAATAATTGTCTTTCATCTTCCCCAAGATCAGTTTTGAAACTTGAAAATCTGATGTCTTCCTACTTTCAAAGATTTTAGGCAAATAGTATTATTGAGAGAGTAAAAGAGGAGAGAATTTATAGTTTCATAAATACTGATGATGTAACCAGTCACTCTGCTAAGTGGTACAGAACCAGGCAGGACACAATGGAGAAGATGGAACAGAGGACTGCTTGAATTGGTGACATTTGGGGGAGTGCTTGGTCTCCTGAGACATAGAAAATTATTAGCTCAGGGCCAGGGTTGTGGCTCAGTGGTAGAGTGCTTACCTAGCATGCGTGAGACACTGGGTTCCATCCCAGGCACCACATTTAAAAATAATAATAATAATTTTTTAAAAAACAAATAAAGGTATTAAAAAAAGAAAGAAAATTATTAGCTCATCCAAACTTAAAGTTTCAGTTACAAGTAAAAGAAAAATCCAACCAGAAAGTTTGCAACAATTCAAGGAATTCATTGGTCTATGTATCTAAAAATCCAAAAACTGGGCAGGCTTTGGAAAAAAAAAAAAAACCTATGTCTCCATAATGCCAGCAAAGACTGTCTTTCTTTCCACATCCGCATTCTTTGATGCTGTTTCCATCTCAGGTTTCCACACTAAAGGTAGCCAGAAGTAGTCAGAGCAACATGATTCCTAGTTCATACCTACAAAAGTAGTGAGTAGATTTGAAGCAGCTCCTGAGGTTTAAAGAGGAACACCCCCCCCCAAAAAAAAAAAAAAAAAAAAACTCCAACTGTCTCTTTAACCTCATCATCCATAATTGGGTCATATGCCTACTCTGAGCCAGTCAGATGGACAAGGTAATGTTATTCATTTAAGATAATCAGGGATTATTTCTGGAGGTAGACAATCCAAACTAAACCATATCAAAATATAATGTCCATTGAAAGAGTAGAAAAAAATCTAGATGGTGAGGAGGGATTTCCCAAATGTTGGCTCCAGCCTTTGCTACTGCTTTTCCCTGTGTGCCTGTTCTATGTGGCTTTCTTGGGCTGACTCCACAGGCAAGATTTTTACTTTAGATTACTACGTGTAATCTGATTTACACATAGCTGAGACTTGTCATGGACAATTCTCACACCAAATACCTCTGACCTCACAACTTCAGTTCCATTAATGACTTTATACCTTAGGGAAAAATCATCAAAAAAATCATCTAACTAGATTGGACTAACCTATGAATAGACTCTCAGAGTAGGTCTCCACACCCTGGACCAGTCACAAGAGCCAGAGGAGTGGGTCATCTGATGCAAACATGGACCAGTAGGCCCATCTGTTCAGCAGGAAAACAGATTCTTTTAGAAGGGGATGTGGGCAGAAAGGCATACATCTTTAGAAAAAAATCCTAGTGGTGAAAATGACAGGAAGAAAATGGCACCGAATTTAAAGATAAAAGAAAAGCTGTCACCATGATTTAAAATTAGACTATGTGACTGATCAGAGACTTTTGCTTTAATCGCTATTTTAGCCTCATAATCTCCAAAAATTTTACTTTACAGAATACCGAAACACTTCTTTGAGGAAAAACATTACAGAAGGAAACAATCTTTGATCATAAATCTAGAAACCTCAAAAGATATTTATTATGCTCATTATATCCCAGGTGCTGAAAAGTGTCAAAGCATAGCTAAATTTTATGCCTATTTTTTGAAGACTATTACTTCCTCAAAATGAATTTCAATAGTGAACAAAGCTAACAGAATACCCCAGTAGAATTTCTCAAGACAAAATTTCACTCCATATTCTAGTATGACCCATTTTCAGCTCCTGAATTCCAAGAGAGCATTAGAAATCCCCATGCCATCCCCAGCCGGACCACAGATATGTTCACTGGAAGGGGAGGATTTGAGTTCTCAGCAGGGGCTATGGCACTAAGGGAAGAAGTGTTGTGTGGTTACTCGCACAACCAAGCCTCTGCCAGACCAGGAGAAGAATGGGAAAAGCTAGAAATGATGACCTTTTTGTGTTTTTCTTCATTCTCTTATAATGTATTCAGGGTCTCTGGCCTAAATAGCTATCTGACTGGTCTCTGTTTTAAGTGTGAAATAAACAATGGAAGGACACTCACTAGTCCCCATAAATCTGGGAATGGACTGGGCAGAGGGCACCAAAACTTTCCCAAATTATGGAAATTGCATTGATTGTCTTCCCAATGGTTCCAATACTTCAATTAAAAGCCATTTGCCTTGACTAGCTCAAAATATATTTAAATGAAGTTGAAAAAGAAAAATTATAAGAAATATAGAGTGCTGGGGATATAACTCAGTGGAGAGTGCTTGGCAAGCATGCATGAGGCTCTGGGTTTGATCCCCAGCACTGCAAAAAATAAAAAATAGCAAACAAAACTAGTTCCAGTGATGGTTAAGACTGAAGAAACAATTGACACTTAAAAGAAAGAGGACTCTAGACATACAGGCACAGTGGAATTGTTTTAATCAACATTTCATGCAGCAGCTCTGCATGGCCTTCCCATTTCTCAATAGCTTTGATTTGTGGAAATAATGGTTATGTAATTTCCACACATTGTGCTCCAATCACAGCATGTAGGCTACAATAAAAAGAAAACAACCAACCGTACTTGAAGCTGGAGATTTTGATAAGGTTTCTTTTTACTTCATGAAGTTTTTTTAACGTGGTATTTTTCTAAGGCAACTGAAATATTCCTACTAATCTTAAGCAGGTAGATATGAATGCAGCAAGGTGGTCTCATTTTCTTAAAGGTATCTATAGCAGGGACAATGATTAATCTAGTTGTAAAATATTAACAAAAAACAAACTATTGGACTATAAAAATCCCACAGTTAACAGATTGTTAGTCTTTCCTCTTAAAAAAAAAACCTCTATGCCATCTGTTTACAAAAGATGAGAAACGTTGAAGAAAATTATTTCCCTTAGGGCATAATGCTCCAGCCATTCAGAGAGAGGTCTCTCTGGCATTTTTAATAAGGATTTGGTACAAGGATGGAGACAGCATCAGGACTGCAGAGTCATTGGCCAGGAAAAACAAAAATGACTTCCCCCGGTGCCCTATTTTAGTTTTATTCTTTGAACTTCCAAGAGTTTATTTATTGTTGTTGTTATTATTATTTTTAATTTGGCACAGACTGTTTCAAAAATCATCTTGGTTCCCTTTTTTGAAGTGTGTTCTTTTTTTTTTTTTTTAATTGTTGAGACGATTTCTAAAGTGCTCCACCTCCACCACCTGTCATCAGATGGGGGCTGCGGCTGGGAGAACGCTCATCCTCCTAAGAGCAGCTGTGGACTGAATGGTGAAGGGCAGCAGCCACAGGAACAGAGGCAGGCACAGGTTTGAAGGTAGGTGGCAACACGATGTCGCAACATAAAAATACCCATGCAGTAGATCAGTGAGAAATTTTCATAGCTAAGTGTACCTGGAGAACTGCAACTAATTTATTAAATCTTAATTCTCTCAAAAGGATTTCCCCCCTTGGTTGCATATACAATTCTGGGAAATTTTCCTCTTCTCACCTAGTCATTTCTATGTGATTAATGGTACGATGGTCACTCGTCACTAGATGGCATTGTGCAGTGTTCCTTGACAGCAGTAATTTAGCAAAGTTACTGCTTGGGTCATTTTTCAATATATTCTTCTTCAGTATGGATCTTGAGAGTCTAACTCTGATCCTAGAGTTTGGGAGTGTAGCTGGGTGGTAGAGCACAGTCCTGCATTCAAGCTCCAGCACTACCAGACTAAATAAGTAAATAAATCTGATCCTGGATATTTCACCTCTGTATGTTTTGTGGAGTTGATATTGTAAAATTTCTATCTTATTTAATATTGTTTTTCCTCAATGTATCTCCTAATACATGAACCCAACATATATTAGTCTTAAATCAATAATAAATTTATTCTTCCTTTACATTTTCTTTCAAGTCTTGTATGCAAATGTATACTTATAGAGGCTTTGCAGAAATAAGTGTGTGTGTGTGTGGGGGGGGGTCATTGGGGATTGAAATCAGGGCTTTGCTCATGTTAGGTATGTGCTGTACCACTGATATCCACACCCCCAGAAATAAAACAAAGGTCAATACACCTAGTATCTCTACCTAAGCATTCAGTAGGAGAAAACACACACACACACACACACATATGAACACTTGCTTTGACTAAGCATGGCCAATTGAAATCTAATCATGGATAAGCTATGCATATGGAATAACATAAACATGATCAGTTCATGCTTTGACAAAGCTGTGGAATTTATAAAGGTTTTATAACAGCTATGAATAGGAAAACTGATGTTAATATAATGAGTTTATGGTCACAGTCTTGTATTCTTCCAGGTATGACAGGGAATTATGACCACTTTCATTTGTTGTTTCTCAATAAATCTTATAATACTGAAGAATAAATTCTAATGTCTATGTTGTCAATTAGAAAAATTTTTCTAAATTATAAGTTTTTCTAAATTATAATTACAACTTAAGACCTGAGAACTTGTAATTAATCATGGATTAAGATGTATTATTTGGGGCCTGGTGTGATGGCACACATCTGTAATCCCAACTACTTGGGAGGCTAAGGCAGGAGAATTGAAAGTTCAAGGCCAGCCTGGGTAACTTAGCAAGAACCTGTCTCGAAATAAAAATTAAATGGGCTGAGGATGTAGCTCAGTGGTAGAGTGCTTGCCTAGCATGTGTGAGGCCCTGAGTTCAATTCCTAGTGTCACAAAAAAAAAAAAAGTGGAATGATAAGATGGCAGATAAATAGATAAATGATGGATAGATGAATGATAGCATCTAATATACTACTTGATATTCTAAATAGTTCTCTATAATCTGTAATATTTGGACTAGTTTGTAGCTCAGGGTAGAGTACTGGCAAGACCCTGGGTTCTATTTCCAACACCAATATATTGATCTTCTATTTTCATTTACTTAATATATGAAAAAACGTTTCTCTGCTTTAATTTGCTTTTTTATTTTTTATTTCATTCATTCATTCATTCATTCAACAAACATTAACTGAACACTTTCTTTAGATTCAAAGAGATAAATAGGACACTAAGTTTGCCCTCAAAAATCTTTTAGTCTTTTATGTCTTTCCACAAACATGAAGTAAATATCAGAATCCTTTATGGGAGAAGGAAAAGGGAGAGTAGAGAAAGAAATGTAATGCAAATAATCTTCGGTGAGGATATTAGATGTGTGGATTATGATCATAATTCTGCCAGTAACTCATGCTATCATCCAGGACCTCCCTCAGTATACCTTCAAATGAAATAATTTTATATGGAACTGACTTACAAAACTGTAAAACACTTTTAATATTTGACTTTTAAAGTCTTTTTAATTTCTTCCCATAAGAATCCCACATTTTTTAAAATAGAACTTTGATCCTGCAATCAATGCTTCTTCCCTTTAAATTTTCCCTTCTATTTCAAAAGTCAGCAGCATAAATAAAATCCATTAAATTTCCAATTCATCTTGTAAAACAAAAGTGAGCAGCCAAGCACCATGATCTTGGAGAGACAGGCAGAAGGCCTAACTCCATGTCCTATGATCGCATTGAACTAAAGCACAGAGACGGTGCAGATCCCCTTTCCTCTTCTACTCTGCTGATTTCCTGCTGCTGCTTTAGGTTTTTGTAGTGAAAAATAGAATTTCAAGAAAATTTTATCACAATAACATATGTGGGATGATCTCTTGTGAGTTTCCTTATGATCCCAGGACTTTACCTCATCAATACTTGTATGGCAAGAAAAAAAAAATTCTTGTTGATAACTGGATTAGGAGAGTCAGACTATATCCTAGATAATATCTATTCTCATATTCATTTAATAGTTCCGCAAAATGCTTATTTTTCACTAAGGCAAATCATATCTTAATCTACTATAGGTAAATCAGAAAACTTTTCTTTTTCCACAGATTGTGTACAGAAATCGTTATGTAAAGAACAACAAACTCAAATGTATTTAAGACCACAAATAAAGATCCATGCAAAGGTGTGTCCCTGGAGAGATCTTTGACTGGATCTAGGTGTATAGAGAGAGGTGCTTTATCTTAAATTTTCTGATCCATTATGTGAGGATTTTGTCTTTAACTTCATTACTGCATTAGGCTGTATTTGTAGTAGGATGACAGCTTACCTGTAAAGATTAACTACTAATTAAGCATTTGGGCTGAAACTTCCCTTAATTTATTGTCAGATCTTCATTTGAAATAGTCTCATTTTATTAAGAAAAGGGGGAAAGCAGCTTGGATTCATTCTACCTGTAAAAAAAAAAATGATTTCCCTGTACTTATTTTGAATGATTATCATTCTAGAATATCTGTCTACCATCAGACATGAGCTATGAGGAAACTTAGAAGATGGAAATGAAAGTTTCAAGACCAAGATACCTATTATTTCCTGACTTTCTCTTCACTATTCGGGTTTATGACATTCTTCTCTTTTTTCAAAATATTATTTCAAGGCAACAAATATTATAAGAATGACTTATTAGTATTCGTGCACAAAGAACTGGTGAATTCTACTTCCCCAGTCTCAAAGACCACAGCACTTGAGCTTTTCATCATCAGTATATTTGAATGAAGTGACCGTCTCCCTCATGAAAGTATATATATTCAATTTCACCATGGACAAAACTCATCCATAAAGAACTAGAGATTTAAAAAAAGATATTTTTGGAAAATGTACTGAGGCTTTTCTCTAAATATAAAATGTCATTTCATCAGTGCTGGTCATTTTTTAATCACATATGACAAAAGATCACAGATGCTCATAAAAAAATCTAAAAGGAATGGAATGTTATTCTCTTCTGAAATGGCTAAGTATCTTTCCTTTAAACTGTTTTGAAAAAGAAAAACAAACTTTACCACTTTGAAGAAAATGCAGGAAGCCATATGGTCCCACCCAAAATTCCTACATGCAAAACGTCCTCATGGGGAAAGGGTTCAAGGTGTTTTTGAGAACAGAACTTTAATGTTTCTGCCTATTAACAATGGTACTTCCTGTTTTGACCTTTCACTATACTGACGCTATCAAGAAAGTATATTATGGACTTCTCCTTTTTGCCCAATAAAGACCTGTTCTCTCACTATGTGTATAGAGTTCAAAGTGAACATTGCCACTACTCAGTTCTCCTGGGGTTTTATTAATTGATCTGTGGTAACCCAACAAGGTTGGAATGTCAATAATTTATAGTTACCTAGTGGTGAGCCTGGTATTGAAGTCAGCAGACTGTGCAATATTCCTCTGTTCAAATGTGCATGAAGCTACATGTTGTCTCTAAACAGCCCCTATGTTTTACTAAAAAATATTAACAACCTCTAACAGATTAGTACTCAGTGATCTCTTTCTAAGCCATCTTCTTTAAAACAATGAGAGGAGGTCTGGGGTTTTAGCTCAGTGATAGAGCACTTGCCCAACATGCCCAAGGCCCTGGGTTTGATGCCCAGTACTGAAAAAAAAAAAAGACAAGAAAAACTTACTAGGTGATACTTTTTTCAGGAAACTGAGACTTAAGGATCACTTGAGTCCAGGAATTTGAGACCAACAAAAAGTGCCTGGGCACCCTTGAGTTCAATCCAGGTACCAAAAAAAAAAAAAAAATCCCCATCCTTCCACCCCACCCCCATTCTCCCACCCCCCACCCCAGCCAAAAAAACAACAAAAAGGAAACTTAATCTTGGAATTTATCCTTCAATTCTTGAGGGAAGTTATGTATCCCTATGCCATAGAAAAGCAATTTATTGGCTATCTTTTGTAAATTTTATAATATATTTTCTTATATAAATATATAGTATTAATGTACAAATTAAATTAAATACGCATAAATATAAATATCAGGCAAACCTAAATAGCTGCTTCCTTTACAATATTTCAGTAATTTGAATATACTATAAAAATAAATTCCTTCAGGCATTTACTACTTTCACTGATGATTTATGTAAGACCTAGTTAAAAATTTTTTTGAACTTCATATGTTTTAGATGCAGAGTCAGATTGTTGCCCAAATCAAATGATACTAAACAATAAAACATTTGCTAGAACAGAAGATGAGGAAAATATCCTCAAAGGATACTATTGATGTTGCTAAAATTGCTAATCCCATTTGGAAATCTGTGCAACTTGATGAGCAGATGCACAAAAGATATTAGTGGGAGATCTGAGATAACCACAGATAATTAGAAAAGTCAGTTCTTAGCAGAATGCATTCTGGGGCAGAAATGTTTTAGATGCAGAAGATTTTCTGGCACAATAATTAAAATAACTACATTTTTTGACCATTTCTATAACTTTATAAACTAAAATAACAATGAATAATTGTCAAAAGCCAATATTTTCTACTTCTTCCAAAACCACACTTCTTCCAAAAACACACTAAAATTGTCTCTAAAAAATGATCACCAATACATGTTTTCTTTAATCTTGAATTTTTATTTTTATTTCTTTCCTACCAATAAACAACTGATAAATCAATTTTCTTGATTCATTATCAACACTGGACAGGTCAGAGAAATAGAACAAAGGTAAATTAATTTTTTGGTTGTTTATTTTGCTTATTTGTTTGTTTTGGTACTGGGAATTGTTTGAATTGGTACAGGTAAAGCCCAGAGGTGCTTCATCACTGAGCTACATCCCCAGCCCTTTTTATTTTTTTTATTTTGAGACAGAGTCTCACTAAGTTCCTGAGGCTAGTCTCAAATTTATGATCCTCCTGGCTCAGCTTCCCAAGTCACTGGAACAACAAGTGTGGGTCACTAGACCCAACACTAAATAAATTTTTAAAACCCTTTATAAATAAAATATATTATGCAACCACAATAATCCATTAAATTCAAGCTACTGTATATCTACGATCACTTTTTTCTCTAAAAATCAGTGCTTAACAGGTCCAGTTTTAGATGTTTAGGACTTAAGAGTAGTAACTGGGGAGTCAGATGTTCTGAATTTTAGTTATAGGATAGTAGTACCACTCATTAGTATCTTCAGTAAGACAAATTTACTCCAGTAGGCACTAATTTTCCCCTTTATTAAATGACAATGATAATACACTGAACTTCATACACTTGCTTAGAGGATTAAATGAGATAATATATGTAAAGTACCTACTGCAAAGTCTGGGACATAGTAGGCATGCTGTAAAATTACTAGTTGCAATTTGTCAATATAATGCAATAATTCTGGCAATGCTAGGCGCAATGGCTCACGCCTGTGATTTTAGAGGCTTAGGAGGCTGAGACTGGAAGATGGCAAATTCAAAGCCAGCCTCAGCAGCTTAGCAAGGCTAAAATTTTAAAAGAGAATAATAATTTTTAAAAAATAATGATAATTTTTTAAAATTAAAAAAAAAAGCAGGGGGTGGGGATGTGGCTCAGTGGTAAATTGCCCCTGGGCTAAATCCCCAGTTCTCCCCCCACAACAAATAACACCAACAATAATGTTGTTGATAATGACCATAATGATGCCTGTTCTACAGGAGTTCTAAACTTCCTCCTGAGGTTTCTAGTTTCATGTGGGACTAAGAGGCAAGCCCCCGAACGAACCTCTCCTGTTCTTCTTGAGAACACAATATTTATGTAGAAGTAAAATCTTTGAAAATTCACTTTCCTGTTGCCGACACCTTCATACCTCACTTGTTGTTTATGTAGGGAGGTATGTAGACCTGAAGAAGGAAAAGGGATGCCTGAATATTTGGGAACCACTTTTGAAGGGGGAGAATCCAGAAAGTCAGTATGTTTTATCTGACACTTGTTCAGTTGGCACTGAAAACTACATAACAGAGAGCTGAGAATCATCACTTCAAGGATGAAAATTTTAAGATATCTCATATCTCAAGTATACACTAAGAATCCTGGGCTGAGAGTGTTTCTCTTCCCTAAGCATGCACAAGGCCCTGGGTTCAATACTTGGCTCCACAAAAAAAAAATGAAATAAGAATACCAGCTGGAAACACATACCTGTAATCACAGCAACTCAGGAGGCTGAGGCAGGAGGATCTCAAGTTCAATGCCAGTACATTTAATTTAGCAACACCCTGTCTTAAAATCATTTTTTTAAAATATTTTATTTTATTTAGTTGTAGATGGATAGAATACATTTATTTTATTCGTTTATTTTTATGTGGTGCTGAGGATGGAAACCAATGCCACACATGTGCTAGGTAAGCACTCTACCACTAAGCTAAAGACCCAGCCCTTAAAATAATTTATTTTTAAAGGGCTGGGTGGGGGCTGGGGATATAGATCTGTTGGTAGAGTGCTTGCGTCAAATGCACAAGGCCCTGGGTTTAATCCCCAGCACCACAAAAAAAAAACAGGAAAAAGGACTGGGAGATGTAGCTCAGTGGTAGAACACTCCAGGAACAATCCCCAGTACCACAAAATAGGTAGATATCGGGATAGATAGATAGATAGATAGATAGATAAGAAAAGTGTTGGGAAAAAGTATAATGGCAGCCACACCCCAGGAAAAAAAACCCAACATGGTGCCTAAGGACCTTCTCTTCCTATTTTCCCCTTTTATGGCGCGAAAAGTTCCCGCCAGTATAAACTCTCCCGATGGCGCCAATTTCAAATCTCGCTGGCAGGAAACCTTAGCCCCAATAAGAACTAATTTCGTGGGCTCCGGAACTGACATCTGGAGGAACTTACCAATAAACGAGTGACCCATCATTTACCTAAACCCTGCCATCTCTCCTTAGATATAAGCCCACAGCCTTTTGTAATCAAGTGGAACTCTCCCCAGCGAATTGTCTTTCGTGGAGGAATTCTTTCAAAAAGAATAAAAGAGTCTGTCGAATTTTACAAAATTATAAGGAGGAGTTTGGAAGTTCAGGAACAAAAGCTCTATGTTAAGAAAAAGAGAATTAAGAGGTTATAAAAATCACAAAAGCTAAAAATGTGCTGTAGGTTAGAATTTGATGGGGGTCCATTGGGATGCTGATTAGGAACCAAACCCCTCCTTAAAATACCAGCATAACATACCTTAGACTGAGGCAAACTGACATCATTTTAACCTCTAATCCATTCTCTCTTTACCTAGAAAGAGACATTTATTTAAGGGAAAGCAGAGTTGCATCCTTTGCTTTGGACTTGGAGCACCTTGAAGAGCTGTGGCCAGGGTAAGTCTTCTTCCACTCAACCTACCCTAGCATTAAGGCATATTTTGGTTGAGATCATGGAAAGGATGTTAAGGGCCCCTATGACATGGCTTTGTATTTCCCTATTTGCCATTTTATTTTATTTTATTTACTTAGTACCAGGGGTTGAACCCAGGGGCGAGCCACATCCCCCTCCCCCTTTATATATATATATATATATTTTTTTTTTTTTTTTTTTTTGAGACAAAGATATCATGGGAGAAGAGATGTCTCTGGGAAGGGTCCGAGGAGTTCCGAGGGAAGGAAAGGAGGATCTCAACTCAGGACTAGCAGGGTTCTTGCCATATGTGATGGAAAAGAATTCCAGCACTAGCCAGACAAAGGCACAGACAGAGATTTATCTAGGAAGATAGATTCTCATTCAAGGGAGAATGAGGCTGTCTCAAGGATGAGAAGCAGCCCTGACTTGGGCTGGGGGTCCAATACTTGGGCTGTATCAGGGGCCAGACTGGAGGTGGATCCAGGCTGGAGCCGCACAATTTCACGCCATTTTTCTCTGCATTTGTGTATTTCCCTCACCTTACAAGGGCATGGGCCAAGGGCATGTTGCTCAAGATTTACAGCTATGCTTTGTACATCTCAATGGCTCGTGGGTGGGTGTTTCCTTTAAGATTCACTATTTCTCTTTCTTTATCCTAAGTCCTTATCTGAGGGTCTTGCTAAATTGTGGAGGCTGGCTTTGAACTTGCTATCCTCCTGCCTCAGTCTTCTGAGTCACTAGGTTTCCAGGCATGCATCATCGCACGGGATCTGTTTACTATTTTAACTTGATGTCGGTCAACCAAGATTCAAGAATGGCCAAGTGCTTCTAGGGAATTCATGGAATATTTTGTTGAAGACATAAACTTGAATTTCTACAAATAGAAACTCAATACCCATTGAGAAACTGTACCGACTTTGAACTTGAGTCATGTACCTTGTCCCCTTCCTTCTCTCTTCCAAACCTTTTTCTCGCTAAGCAACTCAGTGAGACCCTGTCTCTAATAAAATACAAAATAGGGCTGGGGATGTGGCTCAGTTATCACGTGCCCCTGAGTTCAATCCCCAGTAGCCCCCCAAGAAAAAAACCCAACCCTTTTACTCATGTTCTCAGCAGAATAACAAAACTAGGAACTAAGTCTAGTAAAGAAAATAAGTATTCCATACTCAGAAAGATGAATTGTTGGTGTTGTTATATACACAGTGAATCATTAATTTGAAGTTTTGAATTGGTAGATCTGTGTTTTTAAAAGCAATTCAGTCAGGCGCGGTATACACCTGTAATCCCAGGCACCGGAGAGCCTAAGGCAAAAGGATTATAAATTTGAGGCTACATTTTAACATGACCCTGTCTCAAAAGGAAAAATGAAAAGGGCTGGGAATGTAATGAAGCCAGATAGAGTGTCCCTGGGTTCAATCCTTAATACCAAGGAGGCACAAGAAGATCTTAACAGGGCTGGGTGGGGCTCAGCAGTAGAATGCTTGCCTAGCACACGTGAGGCCCTGGGTTTGAACCTCAGCACCACATAAAATAAATAAATAAAATAAACTAGAAATAAAAAATAAAAACATTTAAAAAAGATCTTAACTACTTGTTAAATAGTCTAACATAAGCAATTTTCAGCAAAATTTTCATACTAATCAGAAAAATTGAATTAGTGAATTGTAACATCAGTTAAAAATGTGATGAGGAAGATATACAGCTAGCATGACCTTATGTCTTAGAATTGATCCTTAATACCAAAATATTAATAGAATAGAAATAGAAATATATTCAGAAGAATCAAGGCACAAACTGACCACTAAATATTTTCTTACTCTACATGTAGCATTGAGAAGGAACAATACCTTCATTTCTCCCCCTTGTATTATTTTTCCCTTTCCCCTCATTTCCTCTTGTATGTTCTTTTGTATAACCCTGAGGTTCTCCTTCCATTTCCATGCAATTTCCCTTTTCTCTCCCTTTCCCTCCCACCTCTCATCTCTGTTTAATGTTAATCTTCTTCTCATGCTCTTCGTCCCTACTCTGTTCTTAGTTACTCTCCTTATATCAAAGAAGACATTTGGCATTTGTTTTTTAGGGATTGGCTAACTTCACTTAGCATAATCTGCTCTAGTGCCATCCATTTCCCTGCAAATTCTATGATTTTGTCATTTTTTAATGCAGAGTAATACTCCATTGTGTATAAATGCCACATTTTTTTAATCCATTTGTCTATTGAAGGGCATCTGGGTTGGTTCCACAGTCTTGCTATTGTGAATTGTGCTGCTATGAACATCGATGTAGCAGTGTCCCTGTAGCATGCTCTTTTTAGGTCTTTAGGGAATAGACCAAGAAGGGGAATAGCTGGGTCAAATGGTGGCTCCATTCCCAGCTTTCCAAGAAATCTCCATACTGCTTTCCAAATTGGCTGCACCAATTTGCAGTCCCACCAGCAATGTACAAGTGTACCCTTTTCCCCACATCCTCGCCAGCACTTGTTGTTGTTTGACTTCATAATGGCTGCCAATCTTACTGGAGTGAGATGGTATCTTAGGGTGGTTTTGATTTGCATTTCTCTGACAGCTAGAGATGGTGAGCATTTTTTCATGTACTTGTTGATTGATTGTATGTCCTCCTCTGAGAAGTGTCTGTTCAGGTCCTTGGCCCATTTGTTGATTGGGTTGTTTGTTATCTTATTGTCTAATTTTTTGAGTTCTTTGTATACTCTGGATATTAGGGCTCTATCTGAAGTGTGAGGAGTAAAGATTTGTTCCCAGGATGTAGGCTCTCTATTTACCTCTCTTATTGTTTCTTTAGCTGAGAAAAAACTTTTTAGTTTGAGTAAGTCCCATTTGTTGATTCTAGTTATTAACTTTTGTGCTATGGGTGTTCTATTGAGGAATTTGGAGCCCGACCCCACAGTATGTAGATCGTAGCCAACTTTTTCTTTTATCAGACGGCGTGTGTCTGATTTGATATCAAGCTCCTTGATCCATTTTGAATTCACTTTTGTGCATGGCGAGAGAAAGGGATTCAGTTTCATTTTGTTGCATATGGATTTCCAGTTTTCCCAGCACCATTTGTTGAAGATGCTATCCTTCCTCCATTGCATGCTTTTAGCCCCTTTATCAAATATAAGATAGTTGTAGTTTTGTGGATTGGTTTCTGTGTCCTCTATTCTGTACCATTGGTCCATCCGCCTGTTTTGGTACCAGTACCATGCTGCTTTTGTTACTATTGCTCTGTAGTATAGTTTGAAGTCTGGTATCGCTATACTGCCTGATTCACACTTCCTGCTTAGCATTGTTTTTGCTATTCTGGGTCTTTTATTTTTCCATATGAATTTCATGATTGCTTTCTCTATTTCTACAAGAAATGCCGTTGGGATTTTGATTGGCATTGCATTAAACCTATAGAGAAATTTTGGTAAGGGGGAGAAATGAAGGTCAGTAGAGGGGGTAGAGAGAGAAGAGGGGAGGGGAGGGGAGGGGAGGGGGGATAGTAGAGGATAGGAAAGGTAGCAGAACACGACAGTCACTAGTATGGCAATATGTAAATCAATGGATGTGTAATTGATGTGATTCTGCAATCTGTATATGGGCTAAAAATGGGAGTTCATAACCCACTTGAAGCAAAGTGTGAAAGATGATATATCAAGAACTATGTAATGTTTTGAACAACCAACAATAAAAATAAATAAAAATTAAAATTAAAAAAAAGAGAAGGAACAATACAAAGCTGGGTGTGGTGTCTGCACACCTGTAATCATCCCAGGTATTAATCATCCTTATTTTTATTTTGAGGTACTAGAGATCACAAATTCAAGACCAGACTCCCCCATTTTAGGGAGATCCTGTCTCCATACAAAATTAAAAAGGCTGGGATGTAGCTCAGCGGTAGAGCATTTGCCTAGCGTGCATGAGGCCTTTGCTTCAATCCTTAGTATCACAAGAAAAAGAAAAAACAAAATAAAAAGAAAGGAAAGGATAGATTCCTAATGCAAAAACACTTTTATGAAATGATGAAGGAGAATGAATCGTAAGTGAATAATATAAAGGGAAATTAGCAGGGGCAAGGAATAATGAAAATAAATACAAGTACCTTTCCATGTGGGGTAAAACACGCATGTTAAAACATTTTAAAAGTCTGTACAGTTTTCATGATGCTGGCCTTACAGGTTGAAGAGGTAAAGATAATTCAAATATGCCAGGCATGGTGACACACCTCTGTAAACCCAGCTGAGACAGGAGGATCTGGAGTTCAAAGCCTGCCTTAGCAAAGGTGAGGTGCTAAGCAACTCAGTGAGACCCTGTCTCTAAATAAAATACAAAATAGGGCTGAGGATGTGGCTCAGTGGTCAAGTGCCCCTGAGTTTATTCCCTATACAAAAAAAAAAAAAGATAATTCAAACACAAATTATATGATACAAAGTCAAAGTTCTGGTTATTAAATGGTACTGGGGAATTATTATGAGCATGGAAAATAGGTGAAAAAATCTCTAATTCTGATTAGTATTTTATATTATATGCTAGAATTGCTCTGTGCTCTTTGTTGTTGTTTTGTTTCTTTTTCCTTTTTTTTTTAAGATGTTACACCTTAAGATTAGCTATAGCAAGAGTACAATTTTAAAGATAAAAGAAAATTACTTACAGGCCCAGACACATCTGTAAGCATTTGGGGTCAATGCCAACTGCGAAGTGTACTGGGGGGTGTCCACTCCCAGGGATAGAAGCTGGGCTCCGGGCTACTGGAAGAGCTGAAGTGTGAATTAACTCTGTGGGTGCAAATCCTCTTCCAACTTGAAACACCAGTCAGTGTAGGTGGTCCATCCCACATTTACATTTCCAAATACTTCTCTCTCAGAACATATACAATTTAGAGGGTTAAAACCTTCAGGAAAAATATTCAGGAACTGGAGACCAGGAGTAGCCTTATGGAAATCTGCATGATAATTGTGCTATTTTCTGAAAGAAAGCAGCCAAATAAACATGCTAAATAA